TCTAAAACATAATTTCAGAATTTTTTATCTGATTTTGCGGAGATTGAAGATGATTCAAATGATTCTTAAAAAATTAATTAGTGGTTATAGATTCATGTATGGTCGTTTTCCGGAAGAAAAAATGTCAAAAATGGTCATTTTTAAAAGTTTTTTACAGAAAAAATCTATCTCCTTTTTCAGTTTTTGACATTTCTAGGAGTTCTATAGCTCAAAAAAACCGCAATTATTTTCTCTACATTTTCTATGGACGAAGTTTCAATTCGGCTGATGAAACTTTTTTTATAATTCTTAAAACAACCGCAAAATGCTATTTTGTGCAATTTCATGAGGTTTTTGAATTATAAAAAACGTTTTATCAGACAAATTAAAAATTCATCCATAGAAAATGTAGAGAAAATAATTGCGGTTTTTTTGAGCTATAGAACTCCTAGAAATGTCAAAAACTGAAAAAGGAGATAGATTTTTTCTGTAAAAAACTTTTAAAAATGACCATTTTTGACATTTTTTTCTTCCGGAAAACGACCATACATGGATCTATAACCACTAATTAATTTTTTAAGAATCATTTGAATCATCTTCAATCTCCACAAAATCAGATAAAAAATTCTGAACTTATGGTTTTTGACCTGCAATTGTGATCGCGCCAGACTTTTTTCTGTAGATCAAAAATTAATTTGCAGTTCGGAATTGTTCTGTGGGAGAGTGTGTAATGTTATTTTTTCTCTATTTTTTGAGACTATCTTCCTTATATTTATAAAACGCTAGACGCGTCTGTTGATCCTCATGTCACTCTGTCCGTTTTTTGGTTTGTGAATGGAAGGTTGGCCGCCACCAAAACCGAACCCGCGGCTTTCTGCACAACGACTTCGCACAGCTGCGCCATGGGACCACACCAGGAGAAAGGAGGGAGGGTGTAGATGTCCAACAGTGTGAGAAGAAAAAATCGAGAAGTAAGGAGTGGTGCGACGAACCATTAAATAGGGCGCGTCATAATTATAGGACACCTCTCCCAAATGAGTGATGTGAAAAAACCAAAAAAGAAGACTGAATTCTGTGAACGCAGTTCGATTCAACGTGTGGAAAAACCTATGTCCACAAAATTTCAGACCAATTGAGCCATTTTTATGCTCACAGGGCTGAAAATTCACTTTTTAGGTCATTTTGAACTGAAGAAATATTGCGGAATCGAAAACTTTTTAACACTGTAAATAATGTTTGAAAGACTTTCTAAGTTTCCAAAAAAAGCATTGAAGTTGAGGATTAGTACGAAATGTAAATCACATTCACCGCATTTCAAGGGCACTTTTAGAAATTTCAGTTTTGCTTTAATTGGTAACAAAAGCTCAGAATATCATAAAAACAATTAGTAAACAATGCAAATCACTCCATAAATGTTTCCTATCAATTTCAGCCGAAAAGCTTACTCAGGAGCAAAGTTATGCACGCTTTATTCCAAAAACCCAAAAAATGACAAAAATGTCTGAAAACAATTTTTTCAGAAACTTGCGCACTGTATACGATTCAATCAGATTCAATTTTTATATCGTTTCTAGGAATTCATAAACACGGAACAATGATTAAATGTTTATTTTGCAATTCAGAGAACGTTGACAAATCATAGCGTGTGTTATGGAAAAAACCCCTTTCAATAATTATTATCTGAACCAAAAAACTAAGGGGAAAACCCTAACATTTGTCAATATTCAAGCATGATTATGGGCTAATTGTTGTGGACGGGTGCATTTTTGGGTATTCGGCGAAAATCTGGACGAGTGACCACCGTAGTATTGACGGGACCGTCACCAGGTGGAATGGGATAAGCTTTGCCACGTGGCGTTTGCATGGGGACTCCGACAGCGTTTCCAAAATTGCCGTTGAAATTTTTTGTAACTTGGAATTGATCACCTACTCTGCCATCCGTGATTTTGCGGGCAGAGTTATCGGCCATTGTTGTGTCGAAGTCTGGAGAGAGAAGAGGCTGGAATTAATATTATTTTCAAAATTTTTTTTAGATAAAGACGCAAGGGTGGACGACATATAAACTCAAAAATGAAAACTCGATTTGAAAAGAATGGAGGCCCACCAGGACCCATCTATGTCCCGTTTTCAAGAACGAAAAGAAGTGTGAAGTTCTTATCAGGTCACCGTCTTTTATATAGCTATTTGTGGTTAAAAGAATAAAGGAAAAAAAACATTTATAGCTAGTGATAAAGCGGAAATGCTTGTACTGATAAGAAAAATAAATATTTGGAAGAATTTTCGCCTTCTTCTCAATATATTTTATCACTATTTTATGAGGTTAGAAAGTGAAAATTATAGGGATATTTCATATATTTCCAAGTATTTATTTTTCTTATCAGTAACAAACATTTCCGCTTTATCACTGGCAATGAATTTTGTTTATTTTCTTCTTTATCACAATCAGCTATATAAAGGAGGGGAACTGTCCGACCAGCCGTCATAGTTCTATATGAACAAAAGGGCCGCGTTCTGAAACCTTTTTTGCTATTTTTGATTGAATTCGTCGTTTTTTTTAAATTGAATTTCATCATAATCATTCACTGTCTCTTCAAGAATTTTTATAGGCCTTTCCTTCACGTTTATTCATATAACCAGACTTCTACACAATCAACAACCATGTCTAATGAGGAACGACGTCTGGGTTGCCATTATCCGAACATTCGCACTCATCCCGACGGCCTCCCATTTCCAAGACCAACTCGTTCTGACACCACAAATTTTCCAGGAAACCCTGGTCCAGGCAGCACAAATTGTCCAGGACATCCTTGTCCCAACGCTGTCGCTTTTCGTCCAGACGTCCTTATTAGATTTCCACCCAAGGGACCAACTTGCCATACGAAGTAACTCACTCAATTGGCACCAATAGTCATACTTGAATGATGACAAGTGTTATGGTTTTTTTACTCGAATTTTTTTGGTTTAACAATAATTATTAAAAGAGGTTTTTACCTAACACAAGCTATGTATGATTTGTCAATGGTCTTCGAATTGCAGAATAAACACTCAATTATTGTTCGGTGTTCGTGAATTCCCGGATATATATTTTTCTCACCAGTAACAGTCCATTTGATAAGGTCACTTGATTCTTATCGAAATCCGGCTGTGTATAAAATCATGGTATTCTAGAGAAGGCGGATACATAAATAGAACATAAGCATAAATAGAACTTTGAATATTAAATACAAAAAACTGTTTTTCCTAACGATGCTCCACTTTTACAGGTGCGCCTATTTTAGCAGCTTTGCAGCCGTTCGGACCTGGTTCTGTTTTCTCCAGACCCCCCTTCTCTCCCAGTTTTCACCCGTCGAATCTCTTTTCTTGATTTTTAAACATTTTTCGCTGAAAATGAGCAAAGGTTTATGTTTTTGGCCCGATTCCGCCATTAATCGAGCGAAAAGCTTGGAGCTTTCGTCAATAAAATTGTTTTTTTTTCAGATAAACCACGACCTCGATCGAACGATGAAAACTAAAGTGATTTCTTACAAAAGTGGACAGAAGACAGTGAGCATTAGTAGTGCCGCGATCGTGTTGGAATCAGGTGAAAAAGATGGCATCAAACAGTAAGTAAAATAACATAATTTCGATAAAATTCTATTCAAATTTTCAGTACATGGAGTGTACGTGTCGATACTTCTTCTAGAGCCAATTTCACATTGAACATTGATTGGAAAGATTTGAAAAACCAAGGAGCTCATCGTCTTGTTGGACATTTGATACTCAGTTCTGTTAACAGCTATTTGCCTCCACATAGAGTAGCTATTGATTGGACTGACACGAACCATTCAGTTTTGGCAGCAATTGGAAATAGCCTTAATTCCAGTTTTGAGTACAATCTCACTGCTCACTACGCTGAATCGTCTCCACCCGATAAGATGTCTTATGAAAAACTGTTTGTGGCTTCCGATAAAACAGATGTGGTTCTTGTTGTCGATGGAAAGAAGCTGAATGTTAACAAATCGGTAGGTCTCAGAAACCTAGAAAATTCCCAAATTCTACTTTTTCCAGTTCCTTTCCTTCCACTCCGACTATTTCTCCAATCTTTTCTCTTCGAATTCCAAAGAAGGACAAATGAAAGAAATCGAAATCAAAGAAGTTTCGTATGAAGATTTTGGGCTTCTTTGCAGCAGTTTCTATCCGAATCCGCAGTTTCCAAACGGTAATTTTATCGATTTTTTAAGCCAAAAGTTGATAAATTTTCAGATCAAACTGTCGAGAAACTTCTGGAGATGGCTAGCCGTTTTCAAGTGTCATCAGTTGTTGGAATTGTCGAATATCACCTTCTCAATAATTCAAGAATCGGATATGAGAGAATGTTATGGTTTGCTGATGAATACCAAATGCCGAAGCTTCTGGAGAAGTGTATCAGTCAAATGAACTCACTGGCGATGGCTAAGAAATTGGAGAAGTCTCCGGAATTCGAAAAGTTATCAGATAGAACTAGCTCGCTGATTTTCAGACAACTTTTGAAATCTCTCTGATGTTTTGTGATTTTTTTAAATAATTTTTTGAAATGAAGTTTTTTATTTAATTACAGAAATAAATAGGAAATTTTCAGTTTTTATACAGTATCCAACATTTTTATACAGTATCCGACATGTGTTTTTTTCATGCGGTAATTCCAAAATTCAGAAGCATCTTGAAATGTTTCTTCACTTTTTAAATTCAAAATCTGGTTGAAATTTTCGATGGACTCATTAGAGAAGGCTAGAAAGTTGAAGAAGTCTCCGAAATTCGAAAAGTTGTCGGTTAACACCAGATCGCTGATTTTGGGACGTCTTCTTGAATTTATCTGAATGATTCGAGAATTTTTCTTGTTTTTTTTCCTGTTGTTGTTTGCCACTTTATTACATTTTCCTTATTATTTGTCCTTTTAAACAATAAAATTAAGTTCACATTAAGCTTTCATTTGCGGTCGTTAGCGACCGTGACGCAGGCACGCGACGCGTCCGCATGTAACGAAAAAATTGATTGAAATAGTCCGAATTTAAGGAATTTTTGACTTGAAAATTTGAAAAAAATCGCCCAAAAATTCAATTTTTCAAACGGAGTTGGCAGTTTTTTTGATTTCCAGGATAAAAAATTCCAGAAAATTTGCAGATCAAACTGTCGAGAAGCTTCTGGAGATGGCTAGCCGTTTTCAAGTGTCATCAGTTGTTGGATTGTCGAATATCACCTTCTCAATAATTCAAGAATCGGATATGAGAGAATGTTATGGTTTGCTGATGAATACCAAATGCCGAAGCTTTTGGCGAAGTGTATCAGTGAGATGAATTCGCCGGAGAAGGCTAAAAAGTTGAGAAAGACCGCGGAATTCAAGAAGTTGTCGCTTAATACGAGATCGCTGATTTTGGAACGTCTTCTGGATGTTTTCTGAATGTTTCTAATTTGTAATTTTATCATATTTACCGCTGAATGATATTGTTTCCCACATTACTTTTTATATGTCTTTTCTATAAATGATTATACATCACACATTGAAATTTGTTGATTTTCAGAGACAAGATTGAAAAAATTCCGGAAGTATGGCGAAAATTCGAAAAAAATCGAGAAAAAGAAGAAACAGAAATTACTGAAAATATTTTCAAGGTGGTGTACGGTGAAATTTTTTATTGCATCAAAATGTGCAGAAATGCATGTAGATTGACATAAAAATAAAGAAAAAATTCAAAAAAAATTCCTTCATCGAGAAAAACGCATCGAAAAATACGATGAAAGCCCTTAGGGACGAGGTTTTTTCTAGGCCGCCCGGTGAGTAAAAGCGCGCGAATTCAAACTTTTATAATTTTTTTGCTCGTTTTCACTTTTTTTCGGTTTTTTCAAGAGTTTTCTA